TTATAGGAAAGACAGCAAATGAGAGCGATGGCGAGGCAGGGAGAGAGGGGGTGGCAAGCGAAGTCAGCGAAGGGCGTGAGTTTTAGAGGTTGCACATGAAAATGGGCAGAAAGGGAAAACATTCAGCAGACGAACCGACAGTGATAAAGCGTTGTGATAAAGCATCAGAGTGGCATTAGCATGCGGCAGACATCTCACATACGCAGCTCTAGTTGAGGCCCATGAAAAAAGCGCTCTAACCGGGTATGCACGACTTGCAGTTACCCGCAAAAAGACAAAGTAGCTAGGAGAAACCGGGAACTCGTCCACATTCTGTATTCCTTTTTATAGGGTATACATAATATATACAGAAAAGAAGAAAGAGAGAGAGAGGGTGGGAGTGAGTGAGAGAGGGGGAGCTCTGCTGGCAGCGAGAGAAAAGTTAGTTGATTGCCACAGGCAGCGTCAAAAGCAAAAGTAGAAAAAACAACAAAATTTTTGCATGGAATGCGATGGAAATTCGTGTATTTTCCTTGTGCATTTCCTTCGTTTATTTTCATTGCGTTCCCTCTGGAGAAAAGTTAATCACAACGATCAAAAACATCTGGGACTTGCAGCAAATCTTCAGATGAGTAATGTAAACTCTAAACTTGGCTGTGCAGTGTCTGCAGGGTAGAGTATTCATTAGTCGACTTTAGAAAGAGAGCGAGAGAGAGAGAGAGAGAGAGAGACAGAGAGGGGGTCTATGTATATTTAGTTTACAGTTTCTCTAGACTAAACTGAAACAGCCCAAAATACGCCCATATCGTAACACTAGACTACACGAAAACGGGCCGAGAGCAGCTCCCTTTATCGGATTTGCTTTGTCTAGCCTTCGTTTTCCGATTTTTCTCTCACTTGGCAATGGCTCTAAGCAGCTTCTAAATATCTGGCTTTTTGGCTATTGTTAGCTGCGGTTGCTTTTTTATTGTGGCAGGCTAGCCTCAATGCCACGCCCACTCACCCACACACACTCTCTTAGCCCTTTCACAATGGAAGCTAACGCAATTTAAGTCAACTTCGACACCTGCAAAGTGAAATTGAATTACAAAAATAAAATAAAATGAAAGTAAAGAAAAAAAAAAAAAACTTTAACAAAGGCAACAGCAATGAGGAAAGTCAAATACAAAGGCCAAGCACACAGAGGGCGCTCTACGGCTTTCACCCTCTCGCTTCTGCCCCTCACCCTCTCACCCTCTCTCCCTCTTTGTCGCTTACTCTTTTACGCTTTCTACTTGCTTTTGGCAGCGAGTGTTAAATGTAATTTTTACACCTTCACGCTAAATTTTCAGCGTGCAGCAACTCTAGCCTCGGCCCAGCTGCTATCAGACAGCCACCCACTGGCCAACCCAGCCACGCCCCCAGCCGCCCCTCTGCGCTTCCTTTTGACTCGCTTATACAAAATGCTTGAGAACTTTTAGTGCGTCTCAATGCGCATTTTAAATAAAATAGAAATTCAATTTACTTTAAATAAGCGACAGAAACACAGCAAAAGCAGCTCGACACATACTTGCACAGACACGCACATACACACACACACACACACACATACTTACGCAGCTTGAAAGCGGAACAAGTGCCAAGGGGCTGGGCATATCTGAGAGCGCTTCTGCCGCGACGAGGTGACAAGCAGCAGCGAAACGTCAGTGACAGCTTCTGCTTCTTACTTTTCTCCAGCACTCTCTCTCTCTCCCTCTTCGCTTAACTATATCTCCCAGCGAAAGAGACAAAAAAAAAAAAAGCAGAGCGAAAAAACTTTTTAAATGAACTCAAAATTGACTAAATGTGCTAGCCAAAGGTGCGTAGCGAGCAGAGACGGAGACAGAGATAGAGAGAGAGAGAGCGTGAGAGAGAAACAGTCAGTGTGAGTGCGATTCCACTGGGGAATTTCAGTTAAAGTCTCCGACATTGCTAAAAAGAGAAGCGAAAAGTAAAAAAAAAAAAAAAAAAAAATACTGGAATATAATTAAGCGGCGTTTAGAACGCTTGTAAAGAGCGCGAGAAGTTTGCCTAATTGTTTGCCCGCGCAAAGGCGAAAAGAAAAACTTTCCGCAAAAGTTTAATTTAAATCTGAATGAGAATTTCATCTCAATTTTTTTTCCGTTTTTTTTTTTATGATTTGTTGATTGTTTTGCTTCTTTTCGTTTTTTAAGAGACACTAAACGCCATTTGACGCTGCTGATGTCATTTATTTTTGACAAGACTTCGAAATAATTATCGCCATCCCGAGCAAGCAATTCACTTAAGTGCGTGCAGGAGCTCTGAAACTGAGCGAGTGACGAGGCTTTCAGCATGTGCATCTGTATAACAGTTAAATATCAGCTCTATTTGCAGGTGTCTAGCACCATTATAGACCCATTCATAGACAAGTAGCTAAAAATAAGCAGTATAACAGATATATAACAGTTGTATAACACTTATTTCTGTTATAGATTTATTTTAATATGGGACATGCTTATGATCTTGCTTAGAAAGAGTGTAAGCCATGTAATATTTGTATAACGATTGCGAAATAAGTGTATAACAGTTAGTTTGAAAGCTTACCTGAATGTAAGCTCTATTACACTTTAGTCAAAATAACTAATGCCTTACAAGAGTAATATAACAGCTGTATAACAGTTGTATAACAGTTTTATACCATTTGCATGGCAATTAGTAATCAAATCAATTATCACCCAACTGTTATATATTCTATACCACTATACTCAATATAACCCACACAGCAGTATTATCCCAGCCCAGGGTATTGTCTAGTCTATCAGATGAAACTGTGGTTGGCATTGTCGCGCAGCTTATCTAGCATTATAAGCAGCTGCCCAGCTGCGGCAGCTGTCGCTTTGATTTCATTTGGAGCCAGGTGATAAGATATCTTCATACCACAATAGGCAAGGCTGGGCGACTGAGCGTGGGAGGAATGGGAGACTAGGAGACTTGAGGCGGTGGCTGTGGGTCTGGGTGTGGGTGTGGGGGTGTGGGTCTGGCGGCACCACAGCAACCACTAGCCTGCGGTTGATGCTAAGATGGGGCAAGGCAAGCATAATTATAAAGCTGTTCATATCAAGCAGCTCAAGTGCAACTGGCTTAAGGGCTAGATTGAAGACGGCGACGGCGGCGACAAGAGGAGGAGATGCGGAGATGCCAGCTCACGGGTGTTGATAAAGGGATGAGACTGGCGCCCAGCTGGCAGACGCCAACTAAGCCCCAACCTATCTAACAGCAACAGTAACAGCAACAGCAAAGGCAACAAAAAAGAAGAGGAAAACAAAGTAAATAAATAAAGCGACCAACACAAAGCGTGGAGCCCAGGGACTTAACGGAGAGCGACTAGAGCGAGTCACTTGGAAGCAAGTCGAGTCTGCTTCTTCTTCAATCTTCATTCCTCTTCCATTTTTTTTTTTTTTTTTTTTGCGTCACCCAAATCAATTTATTGAATTTATTTGGTGATTTTATTAAAGCGCGCAAAAAGCATCAAATGAATTGACACGAAAAGCTCCACGGCTCAAAAGGGGGTGGGGGTGGGGGTGGGGGTGACTAAATTCGATTGCCGATTCAATTGGCTGTCAAAAAACATGTATATATATATATGTATATGTATAAATATATATGTATATCTATAAAGCTAGAATGAGGCTGGGGCCTATCGTAATTAAGTTAGAACCTTTCCACAATTTTACTACAGACTCTCTCTGCTGCTCTGCTCTGACCCAGCAGCCACCCAGCCTGGCCCGGCCCGGCTTGGCCCGTCCCACTCTGCTGGTGAAAGAAGCGCTGATTGCGTTTGCCGGAATCGTTCTCGGACACGCCCCTGCCCCAACCGCCCCCTGGCTAGCCAACATCTATACGTACTTAGCCAAAGCCTAACAACTTTCAGTGCTAAATGCCTGCAGGCATCTAAATTGTTACAGCCAGCATAATAAAGCCCTCCCTCCCTTCCTCCTCCCCCACCCCCTCCCAATCTCACACCTTTTGACCAACATTTGCAGGCTTATTTCATCTGTCCGAATTGTAAGTTCTTTAAGTTCTTTTAAAGTGAAATGTTATACAAATACGTAACGAATTCCTTGCTTTTGGCCAACTTCAATTAGAATGGGTCCACCCTAAAGTGAAATTTGAATCTCTACATCTACCTTGTGCAAAGGTTTTCTGCTTTACTTGATTTTCCATTAAAGTTAGTTAAAGTTGTAATAGTAGCTAAGCTGCTAAGCTTCAGTTGCTGTTATACCGTCAGAGTTTTTGCACATGATAATTTCGTATAACAGTTTGTTTTCAGCTATACTTTTAATTGTAATTCTTAAACCAAAAAAAAAAAAATAAATAAATAAAAAAATCGTTCTAACTAACTTGTCATAACCTAACTAAATGCCTGCAAGGGAAGAAAACTTGTATAACAGTTTGAATTTAAGCAGATGTTGATATACTATATTAGTAAGAGGAGCTACAACTTTGTTTAGCTTATTGAGAATTGTTTACCTTTACCATACGATTACAGGTTTATAGTATACCAGAGTATAGTATAACAATGTCTTAAAAAGCCTAGCGACAATGCCCAACTTCTCGAATGTTTTACATATAACAACGTTTGTATAACAGTTTCTCTTACTTTACACTTTGTGGCCCATTTAATATGAGATTATAATCGCGCTGAGCCTTACCACAACTTACTGTATATAAAACAGTTTTTAAATACTTTTGTATAACAGGTTTTTTNNNNAAAAATATAAACATATGTTAGAGAAACCATTTATCAGCAATAACTTTTATACTTTTTTTTTTCGTATAACAGTTTTTGATTTCACTTTTAAGGTTAATTATCCGTGGAAACTTTACGAAATAATTTGTAACCACAATTAACTGAATATTGAATATCATAAATGTTAAAAAAAAAAATTAATAATTCAAAAATAATTGGATTTTTAATTGTCTAAAAAGTGAAACACTAATTAAATTCCCATTTTTTTGCTTTTGGTATATTTTTCATGTAGCTCGTCGGCGGTGAATTCGATATGGAATTGAATTTTGTGATACAGGATGCGCAGAATATAAAGCATATGCTGGAGCTGCTGGATCATTGTCCGCCCAATTTGCAGGTGAGTTGCGATAGCGAACATAAAAAGAAACTGGTGTGTGTGTGTGGGTGTGTGTGTGTGCGTGTGTGTGTGTGTGTGTGCTCATGTTGTATAACAACAAATAAAAATTTGATGCCATAAAATTCAATAAAAAATTGTGTTACTTTGCGTCATCAAAGCCAAATTAACCAGCTACATAAAAAAGGCGTTTGTAGCTGTATCTGTCTGGGTGTGTGTGCGTGTGTGTGTGTGTGTGTGTGTGTGGGGGCGGCTACAAATTGTGCGTAATGAAAGCGCAACATGAAATGCCTTTCAACTGTTTTTACTTTTGCCGCGTTGTCATTCGCCTCGTTGGCGACGCGACGCAATCTTGTTTTCTCTCTTCTGTTTTTTGATTTGCATATGTATGTCTGCCTGTGTGGGTGTCACTCTCTGTGTGTGTGTGTGTGCGTGTGTGTGTGTGCGCGCACATTAAACAATATTTTACACCTGACGCTGTGTGTTGCGCGACGGCGCCATCAAATTATTAGCATGAATGCTGGCAAAGGATATGACGCCCGACCACGTCCCCAACTGGTGTGCTGCTTCACTATGTGTGTGTGCGTGTGTGTGTGTGTGGGCTGGCAGGAAGTATGCTCCTCTCATGCGACATTCGCCCCAGCTTCAACTTTTGCCGCTGTGCAAGAGTAGACGCCGGAAGTTGAGTAACCGTGTCAGCAGCAGCAGCAGCAGGAGCAGGAGGAGCACCATCAGCAGGAGGAGGAGCAAGAGTCAGTCAGTCAGCCAGCCCGCTTTTAGGGGGCTAGCAGGCGCACCTCAGTCATCTCTGACAGTTTGTGGAGCCGACAAAAATCGCGCCAATGTTGTCGCTTAATGAGTTTGTTTCAAGTTTGCTCCAGCGCTGCGTGCATTCACCTCGCACACAGTTGCACAGAAAGAGAGAGAGAGAGAGAAAGAGAGAAGAGCTCAACTAAGAGATACCCTGTAATACCCAAGAGATACTCTACAATCTACAAATCTTCATATGCAACATTTAAGTCGAGTTTCGCATGGGAGACAAATTGATTGATGTAAAAAGTTTCAGATTTGACTTTGAGCTGAACTTTGGATGCCGACTTATATGACCGAAGCCACGTATATAGCATATAGAATATATTCAGTTAAGCTAGCCAAGAATTTATGTACTATTGAGTCAGTGTACGGAACCGGTTCGGGTGCTGAACCGTTTAAAGACTTTGAAATTGTTGCTGCGTGGAGAATTTCTTATTTATGTGCTATAAAAAGAGATAACAGGTGGCATTAGAGAGAGGGAGAGAGAGAGAGAGAGAGAGAGAGAGAGAGAGAAAGGTAAAGAAGGAGTGAAGGAGGAGAGGAAGAAAGGGAAGATGAGATGAGTGTGGGTAGATCAAGAGGGAGCAAGGGAGAAGTAGAGCGCGGCTGAGAGAGGGACTGAGAGCGGCTGAGAGGAACTGAGAACGACTGCTCGAGGGAGAGCGAGAGAGACAGAGACAGAGGGTAACGGTATTCTAAGCAAAGCTAACTTTGTTTTCTTCAGACTCTTGGCAATTGCTGCTGCTCGAAAGGCAAATTTTTGGCTCAGGTGTAGCTGTTGGTGTGGGTGCTACTTCTGCTGCTCCTGCTGCTCCTGCTACTTCTGCTGCTGCTGCTGGGTGGAGCCATTTAAAGCCACTTACATATGCGAGCCATTAAAATGCCGCTTGGTGAATTGCGTCCTCAGTGTGCGGCATGTGGGAATGCCATGTTTACACACAAACACACAGACACACATACATATGTGCGTGTGTGTTTGCGTGCCTGCGTGTGATACATGGTCCGCTGTTGTTTCACGGCGTGCGCAACGTCAACGGCATTCAACGTCAAATAGTTGCGGCTCGGCTGTGCCCCAACGAATTTATTTAGCTTTTTAAATTAATGAAAATTGTCACTGACAAATGTTGTGCGAGTGTGTGTGTGCGTGTGTTGTTGACTTATGTAAAACACGCATCAAATATGCATCATTGAAGTGCCAGCAGCAGCAGCAGCAAGAGCAGCAGGAGCAGCAGCAGTAGCACCAGGAGCAGCAGGAGCAGCAGGGGCAGGAGCAGCGTCATTTGAGGCGGCGCAGCTCAAAGAATTTGCCAGCATATTGGCTCTGCTCGCTTGCTCGCTCGGCCGCCCGCTCAATTTGGCATGCTAAGCAGGTGCCACGCCCCCAGGCTGCCAAGCCCCAGCATGTACCGTTACGTGGCAAGTGGAAATAAAAAGGAATTTACAGCCATTTTATTGCCTGGGGACAGCAACAGGGCGCAGTTAACGGGCCGCCGTTGCTCGCTACAATTTTGCATAGCTCGCAGATACACCTGTACACACACACAGGCACACACACACACATAACTGTACAACAATCATAGCTTGTGGAATACTTAAATGATTTATGTGCTTACCAGCACCGTCTCTGCGTCCGCCACTCAATTGATTCGGCACGTAACCGGGCCAAGTGCAAATAACTGTTTCAGTTACCAACCGACACCCTCTGCCCCCACTGCCCCCACTGCCCCTCTTGGCCCTTGTCGGTCCATTATGTATGCGGCCATTACATTTTATACTTGACAATAAATTTTCGGCGTGGCATTCGGCTCGAGCCGAGCGCAAATCAAAGCCACGTTATGGCCATATCCCAGCGCTGTTGCCTGACTTCTGCTCCAACGGGCTATAGCCGTTGCCATTGCAAATTCCCGTTGCCGTTACCGTTACCGTTCCGGTTCAGCTTTGGGTTCCGCTTCTGGCCGGCACTCGCTGCTCCGTGCAACCGCACGCTGGCAACGCCTTCGTCGCTACGGCCACGCCACGACCTCTGCCACTCGGTATGCTCAATAAAATTTTACAGCCTTTGCCTTTGCCAGCGCAGCAATTTGCGTAACTCTTCCTCTTCCTCAAGCCCCCTCCTATTACTAACAGTAGCTATCTCCCTCTCACACACACACTCTCTTCTCTCCCTGCCTCCCTCTCCCCCTCTGGCCGTCTGGTTGTCTGGTCAACTGGTTTCACCTTTCGTCAAAAAATCTACATTTTGTGTTTGCTTATTGCGCCACCTGCCGGCTGGTAGCGGCTTTGAATAACATTGTTAAGGCTCCATTCATGCGTGCCACGCCTTCTGTGTGCCCCGCCCTCTGAATTCAACTTGTTGGCAATTTGCTTTAAAGCAAATTTTCGCTTCCTTCTCTTCCTTTCTCTCTTTCTATCTATATCTATCTCTCTCTCTTTCTTTGTTTCTCTCTCCATCTTCGTTCAACACTTTTTTTTGTACTATTTATGCTACATAAATATCTTATTCAGCTCTTCCAGCACATTGCATTAACAGTTGCTTTTTATGCTAATGAGCTGTTAACTTTTTAACAGTCTCTCAATGTAGAACAGCTGTTGCTTTTCATTGATTAACATTTACTACGCTTTCGACTCGTTCGTAATGAGCAAGGAGCTATATTAGTCGAGTGTAATCATCTCATTCTGTCCATTTTGATTAATCCTAGAGACTTTATGTATGTGTTATATATACTACATACTACATCTATTTGGGGGCTTGGGCAACTGATCAAGGCTCATATAATATCTGATAACATTAATATTTTCCTCTGTTTCGTTGTGTTACTCTTAGGTCTTATTCAATTCATGTTCCCATAGCTAACCCTAAAGTTCTACTAATAAAAGATCTCCCTATCTCGCTCTCTATTTCTATTTCTCTCCTGCCTTCTCGCCCTTTTTCCCTTCTCTGTCATTTCATCTATTTCCCCATCTCGGTCCCTCTCTCTCTATTTTGTATGTGTCTCTCTCTCTCTCTGTCTATTTCTGTCTCTTTCTCTCTCTCTCTCTATCTCTCTTTCTGTTTATTTCTATCTCTCTCTCTCTCTCTCTCTCTCTCTCTATCTCTCTTTCTCTTTATTTCTATGTGTGTCTCTCTGTCTCTCTCTATTTCGATGTGCATCTCTGTCACTCCTTTAATTTTTAGCTCTTGTTAATAAACACTCATATTTGTAGCTCACTTGATGCAGCTCATATGGCATATGAAAGAGACAGAGACCGAGAGAGAGAGAGAGAGAGAGAGAGAGAGAGAGAGAGAGAGAGAGAGAGAGAGAGAKAGGACATTGTGGCATTGACTTTGTCAAGGAATTAACTTGTGTCTACACAAGGCCTCCGAGTGTGGGCAGCACCATCGGCAGGGGCGTGGCAAAGCTGAATGAAAAGAGAGGAAAAACAAAAAAGTTTTGCCGTCGCAGCATTCAGCGGCGACGACTAAGCTGCAGCTTAGCGGCGTGTTAAAACCAGATAAAAAGAAAAAAAAATGAATGGAAAATATAGAAGAGAGCGAATGGGGAAAAAGTGGCTAAGTGGGCCAACATTGGTGGGCGGTGGCAGCCGGTGGTTGGGTGGTGCGGCTGTAATTATTCGAGAGCAACAAAATGACGATGGATATTTGCAGAGAGCGCAGATCTGATGAATGGGGCAACAGTTGCCCACAGCTCCGCCGCCCTGGCCCTTGCCCCCGCCTGCTCCTCCTCCGCCTCCTCCTGATGAACAAACAGCGGCAGCACACAAAAGCCCAGCGGCAACACATTACAATTTATTCATGAATTGAATTTGTATTCGTTGCAGATATTTCTATAAGTTCGCCATTTGCTCTGCCAGACAGCTGCCACGCCCAGCTAACACCACGCCCCTCCACATCCCCATAGCCATGTCATGCCCAATTTGATGGCAACTCTTCTGCCTCTTTTCCATCATTTAGCCAAGTGTTTGGCATGCACAGTATTTTATTTGGTATTTAAATACCATTTGCATGTTGCAACCGAAGAAAAGGCAAATCGATAGATAAACAGTTATAAACATGTATATTTCACAAAATATATGTAAATATATAGAGATAGTCAAGTTTAGTTCGAGCTTCTTTCTCTTTGCCCTAAGATACTACTCTCTCTTCCACTATCTCTCTCTCTCTCTCTCTCTCTCTCTCATTCTCGTTCTCT